CTGAGAAGGCCTTCATTTTCCTACCTGGGCTTCTTCCTTCTCACCCAGGGCAGGTTGGCTTGGGGTGGTATCATGGAAAAAAGCAGGAAAGCTGAAGTCAAAGGCCTAGATTTGGGACATGGTTTTGCTAGTCAGCTAATTTAAGCAAATTTCTGAATCACTAAGTTTTTGTTACTCTAACATGTAAATGACACTAGCAAGAAGAGCCCGACTGGCCTCCTTTAAGGGCTGTTGCACATATCAAATGAGGTAAGGGAAATGACAAAATCCTCTAACCTGCAAAGAAATGATCACAAACTCCCAGCCCACATTCAAGTTCCAGACAGAAGAATTGTAAAATATCAGTACTGAGAAGGCCCTGAGAGTATCGAGTTTAAACTCCTCATTCAACAGGGCAGGAAACTGAGGAAGTGACTTGCCCAATGTCACCTGTCTAGTCTGGGCTGTCCCCCTTCCATCTACAGACACTTATCCTGCACTTACGGGGAGCCAGGTACTTGAACAACAGACACGTTTCTTACTTTCATGGAGCTTTCATTCCAGTGCAGTAGAACAGGTGAGAAGTATATAAGCAAATAGAATAATTATAAATGACAGAGACATAGATAAAGAGATAGTGGAGAGAATTACTTTCAATGGGAATCAGGGACAGCTTCTCTGAGAGAGGTGACAAGCTAAGAGTTAAAGGATAGAGATGCTAGCCACTCAAAGAGTATGCTAGAACATTTGAGGCAAAGGAAAAAGCATATGCAGAGATTCTGAGGCAGGACTGATATAAGAACAGGACTGGAAGAATACACACAGGAGGGCAGAGAGCGATGGGAAGGGTGGCTTGGATGTGGCATGGGCTACTGTTACACAGATGGTCATGACAGTGACCCACAGTAACTATGACTTAAATGTTGTAACTCAGTACATATACATATATAAATATGCACACAGACATACATACAGAAGCCAAAGTTTCATGAAACAATATTTACTCTACTATGTGTGAGGTACTCTGTTATTTTCTATTCTGTTGCAAATGATTTTACTAAAAAAAAAAAAAGCCGCTGTTTGCAGCCCACTAGATTGACTTTGCTAATGGGTCACAATCTGCAGTCTGAAAAATGCAGGACCTAGGGTCCTGGCATGGAGAGCAGATTCTATTTTAGTGAATGGGGAGCTTCTAATGAGCTTTAAGAGAAGTCTCAGGTGATCAGATTTATGCTAAAGATTACTCTATGGCTGTATGGAAGACTGTTGGGTGGGCAGGGGCAGAGCGGAAATGAGGAGGTCAATCAGGAGGCTTTTGGAGGGAGTGTAATACTAGATGACGGCTGCTTAGACCAAGATTCTGGCAGTGGAGATAAAGAAAAGAAGATGGATTTGAGTTATATCTTGAAGACAGAATCAACAGCATTTGATGACTGGGTGACCACCCATGCATGGAGGGAGGATCCTGTATCAGGCAGAGGTGAAGAGGGCTCTGGAGTCAGACAGACACAGATTCAAGCCCTGGCTTCCCCACATATTTGCTAGGTCACCTTAGAGAAACTATCTGGAGCCTTATTGGTTTGGTGTCTGGTGGTGTGGGATCTTAGGGGCCCTTGGCCTACACCTCCAAAGCTCTCTAGTGTGCTTGCCCACTATTCAGTTGCTGGGGTTCTAACAGTACACATGGTGAGGTGTGGGGATTCCTAGGCAAGGAATCCTAGGCAATTCCTAATTGTGCTGTAGGAGGGCAGAAACAAAGTAGGTTCTAGAGACCAGTTATTGGAGACAGGAGGCAGGAACATTCTTTATTTAAGGGTGTGTAATCCCTGAGTAGATCTGTGGCTGAGAAAATAAGAGACTGAAAAATTGAAGGATTCCTTTGGAATCTAGGAGGTACTCTGGCATTCTCTGGCCTTCACCCAGCCTGGTTTTCAAATCTTCATTGTCATCTTTAAAACCACTGCCTCATTCATCTTAGCCAACATATACTGTACTCAACTCTGCACCAAATCCTTAGTGCAGGACTTTCCATGCATGAAATCAAGGGTACTTTCTAACGCCCTTTAATGGCATGGCAGTGGAAATCCAGCCCTTGACACAGATTAGGCAGTCCCTAATCCTTTCTCCAGAGAATCTGGGTTGGAAGGGGGCAGTGTCCATGGTTAGCCCCCAGGGATTTCAGGGTTTTAAAGTAGAAACCCTTGACTTCGGAGTTGGAGAGACCTGTGTAACAACTCTGGCTCTGCCACTCACTAGTTGTGTGACTCAGAATTACCAGTTCACCTTTTTGAGCCTCAGTTTTCCTGATCTATGAAATGCAGAGAATAACACTCATGTCATAGCATGAAGATTAAATGCTATGACATTTGTACAGACTATCACTGTGCCTAGTACACAGTAGGTGTGTAATATCCCTGTTTCCTTTACTGATCCTAAGTCCCATGTCCTAGGTCAGAGGACTTCCACTCCTCATGTACGTGCCATGGACCCTTAGCCATCTTCATCATCTAATGCAGAGGTCAGCAAACTATGGCCCATGGGCCAAATCTGGCTCACCACCCATTTTTGTAGATAAAATTTTATTAGAACATAGTCATGCTCACTTTTTATGTATTGTCTATGGCTATTTATAATGGTAGGGTTGAGTAGAGGCCGTATGGCCTGCAGAGCCTAAACCATTAAGGAAGAAAGCCTGCTGGCCCTGACCTAACGCATACAGAAAGTTAGCCTGCAGAGCTGGCTGTATGTGTTCCCTCACTTGAGCTGCATAAGAGTTTGTTGAGATATGCAAGGCAATGACTGTTAGCTCTGTTTTAGAGATGGGGAAAGTGAGACTCAAAGTAGTTGTGACTTAAACAAGGTCACACAGGGGGCGGAAGGGGAACCTGCTGATTCCCTTTCCTGCAAGTACTCTTTCTACTGCCTTGTGCTGTCTCAGGAGGCTTTCAGGGTTTCCAATGAGAAAGTCTGTTCACTTTCTCTGGCACAGTCTCCCCTGGGACTGGTTGCATGTGGGAAAAAACTGGCTGTGGGCACAATAATAGCTGGGCAGCTCAGTATCATGAAAAATGACTAGATCTGGCCAGTTGAGGATTTACCTGTTTAATGATTGCCAGGCTTACTCAACTGTAGTCTTCACTAAAAGAAAGATCATGTCTGTTCATTTCTATATGCTAGAGTATAGCACATTGCAGATGCTCACAAAATATTTACTGAATAAGCCAAGTTAATTATAGTCCTGACAATTATAAAATCCTCATCCTCTCTGACTGGTACTGGTTTAAAAGAGTCACCTTTTGTCTAGAGATAAATCCCTGTTCTGGCCACCACGGCCACTGTCACCACATAGTAAAATCACCCATACGCCTGGCAGATGTCCTTTATTCTTGTCACCAAATCTAATTACCAAGTCCTGTTACTTTAGCTCTTCAATCCACACCATCTTCTCCATCCCTACAGTACTATCTTATTCATATCCTCATCATCTGAAGCCTGAACTGTTCAGCCACCTCCTTACTGGCTTCCTGACTCTACCCTCTGCCTTTCCAGAGCATTCTCTGCACTGCACAAGTCTGATCAAATCATTCTTTCTCTTCATCTGGTGCTCTGACGATGGATATGAGCCCCCCATGACTGGTACCCACTGTACCTCTCCAGCCACATGTTGTTCCTTCCCCATCCTACCATGGCCCAGCCACACTGAGTTACCTGTAGTTCCGGTGGCACTGTGCCTCTCTTACCACCTACCTTTGCATTTGCAGCACTTCCTATCTGGGAAGCCCTTGCTCACCTAGCCCACTGTGCTCCTAATCAGTCTTCCAGACCAAGGTTAAGCATCACTTCTCTGGGAAGCCTCTCCTCATGCTTTGCAAGTGAGGGGACACTTGGCCATGTGTCAATCCTGCAATTACAGCACTTACTACACTGTATTGTATTAAGTGTTGTTTTTCCATTCCCGGGCTCCCCATCCCTGGCCAAGAGCATTTGAGGGCAGAGACTATGTCTGACCCATCTTGGGTACCCTTCACTCAGCACAGGGGCTGGCCCAAAGCAGTCAATATCCAGCGAATCCTTGAAGCTCTCAGTCTACTCACACACTAGGCTATTTCAGTGCCCAGTGGCTCTAGGAGAGGGAAGCCTTTGGCAACTTCTCTGATCTCAGAGAAGCAAAGAGCCTCTGTTAGACTTCTGTTACTGGTTTTTTCCCACCTAGTACCTTTTTCTTTTTACAACTACTTCTTCCTAATCTCTGGGGCTGTCAACCACAAGGCCCCACCCTCTATATCATAGAGGAGGGCAAGAGATTCAATCAGGCAACAGGAGTGGCCCAACACCATCCCCCTGGTGGTTCTTGGGAGTTCCACCTTAAGCATCTCTGTTGCAAGCATTGTCACTGCATAACTAATTGGTTGAAGAGCAATTCTGCTGTAAAAGAGCAAAAAAACAGCTGGTAGTTTGGTTTGATAGTCTGTTGGTTTCATCAATTGGTTGATAGTTGGTATTTCTACATTGATGCAGTCAATATTCCCACTTTTATATAAATCTTGGTCCTCATAATGGTCTATGCAGTGGTGTAGAATTTTGAACCCACATATTCCAAAGAACTTTGGAACATATTTAAACATACATGTGACCATATGCTAAGAACAAAAGTGTAGGAGGTTTTCACAATGCAAGACAAACCTCAGTTACAAATATGCATCCTAGCATTTGAAAACTGATACTTCTCTTAATGGAGGAAGAAATTTCAGCAAAAAAGAAAAAGCGTGATGCCAAAGGAGAAGACATATCAATAAACAAATAACAATAATACTATGAATGAAAGACTTTGAAGTCAAGTGCTTAGGTATACAAAATAAAATCAGTTATTTGAGTTATACTGCCATGAATCTATACTATACACTTTGAATGCATTCATATATTTTGTATTTTGCAATAGTTTGTTATTCATTACTAACGTCTCATTATGTCCTTTTTAATGAATGTCCCTCTTTTATTTCTCTCTTATTGATCTTTTACAGCAAAACTGCCTTATGGCCAATTGTCATGCAGTGAAATGTTTATGGTGGAAATGCTTGCAGCAGCGATGCTCACTGTGAAACTCCCCTGGCGATGGGCTCATGGATGGGCAGGGCCCAGGCTGGGCTGGTCAAAGCACTTCTGGGTGATGGACACGGTTGTTAGATGGACTGTGGAGGTCACATTCATTTGTTTGTTCTCAGGATCATGTAAACCTTAGGCTGCTGGTAGCTATTTATGAAAGGTATATATCAGAGTGGGTTTGAATTTTAGCTCCACCACTTACTGGCTGGGCGATCCTGGGCAGGCTGCTTAATCCTTTACATTTGTCTCATCAGCAAAATAGGAATAATGGTATCTGCCTTTATTGTTATAGAAATACTTGAGTTAATATATATAAAGTGCTCAGAGCAATGCCTAGTGCAAAGGGAGCGGACAAAAAATACTTGTTGCTATTATTATTATCACTATGTGGGGAGATTCCATCTGAGAACTAGTGAGAAAAAGAGAAAGAGCTCTGTAGCATTGGGCCTCCTAGATTCAGCCATGCCTGAAGTTTTCTATCTCTTGCACTTCCCAGTTCCACAAACCAATTAACTTCTTCTTTTGTAAAGCAAATTTGAGTTGACTCTCTGTAAGTTACAACCCAAGGAGCCCTAACACTGGAGGGTAGCGGGAAAACCAGGAGACAGAGTTTGGTAGGCTCTTTCTCATTCTGCTGTTTAAGTTTGGACAAGGGCTTCTTCTCAAGCTTCAGTTCCTCATATGTCCATTGGGGTGGATAATATCTTCCCTGTCTCCCTCTTAAGGTTGCTGTCAGGATCCAGTTGTATAATGTTTGTGTTTCAGGAAACATCAAGTGCTAAAAAACAAACTCACCAATGACTATTTACTACAAGTCAAAGTAAATCCTAACTCCTGAGCTTGGCTTTTGCAGAGCTTCCCCCATGTGGCCCCATGACCTTGGTGACTTTCTTTCTTTCTTTACTAATGTAGTCCTTCCTCTCCCACGTATAATCTTCTGCTGAGGTTACACTGGATTTCTCACCATTTTCCAAACTTACCTTTGTGTCTCTGCTCACTTTGTTTCCTCCAAATACAATGATTTTTGGTTCAACTCCACCTAACAAAGTTTATCCAGCAAAGGTCCATTCTATGAAGCCTCCTCCTTGAAGCCCTGATCCTTCCCTAAGACTGACTGAGACAGTCTCACACATTCACATGGGCACACAGAGTAGCGGGAAGTGCCCTCTGCTTCCCGTGAACTGCTGCACTCCCTTTATTGAGACTATTGGTTTGGAGATTTCCTCAATTAGATTTTAATCTCCTGGAGGGAAGGGGCTGTCCTATTTTGATTCCCCATTGTATCTTACAGAAGGTATCAGGGATGTAGGGATTCAGAGAATCACAGTTCTGATCAACATGGGCCCAAGAGATGAGAGAGCAGGTGCATCACCTCCAGAGCAAAAGGAACAGAATTTCTGCTCTCCCTGTTCAGCTCCCATCCCTACTGCAGGTAGGTGTATAGACTCAATAATAAGCCCTGCATTTGTAATTACATGAGCCAATGAGCAAACATCTACAGTGTTGGTGAAATAGGATCTGGAACAATGAAAGGCTACAGACACCTGGAGAAACTTACCCAAACCGGCATTTGCTGGAATCACCCAGTCTCCGGGCTTCACCCCAGTCACACTGCTGCCCACTGCTACCACCTGTCCAACACCTTCATTCCCTCCAACAGCAGGTAGCTTGGGAAGGAGGCCGTAATTTCCTAAGGGAGATGAGCACAGAAGGTCATCAGTGAAGTTTCGGTAGATTAAGAGCATGAATTTTGGAGTCAGACCTAAGCCCCATCTGGCCTCTGCCTCTGACCAGCTGTGTATTAACCAGACCTCTCTCAGCCTTAGCTTCTTCATCTGTAAATGTGGACAATACTCTTTAGGTTCACAGTTATTACAAGGAATAGATAACATATAAAACGAGCCTAGCGTATTGCAGGCCCTTCACAGTGGTTGGTTTATTTCCCACTGCGATCTTTCTAATTCTCGAAAAGCTTCACATTCCAGAGGGGAGGCCAGCCCATCTGGAGAACAGCTGCTGCTAATCACAAGAATTTCACACCCACACCTGAGGAGGAATGAAAATGAGGTGGTGGCTAAGCAAAAAAGCCAATTAACATAAGCCACAGAAACCAAGGTTACCTTGGATCATATTTATGTCAGATGGATTGATAGGGGCTGCCAGCATCTTCACATGGACGCCTGATCCACCCACAGCAGCTAACTCCAGGTTCTTCAGTCTAAGCACAAGCCAGAGAGAGATGTTAATGTCACCCAGCTAGACAGGGTGTCTTTTCCTGAAATCAGTCCCCAAAGTAGGTCAGGCAGCAACATTTTTGAGCTGCCCCTGTGTGCCCAGGAATTAGGGTTCTGTCAGAAAAGAGCAAGGTGTTGTAAGGAATTAACATGGGATACAGGTTAATTCTCTTGTTCACCGCAAGTGGAAAATCCCTAGTGGCCTGTCAACCCCACCGCCCATTCTAGGACAGAAAGTGTGCTGTCTCCGATCAGCCTTGTGCCTCCCAAAGCTTGCTTATCTGAATCACCTGTGTACTTAACAATACAGATTCTCAGGCCCCAGCTCTGACCTACTGAACCAGAATCTCAAGATAAGGGGCACCCTGAGTAGTTCTTAAGAACAGACATAACTGGGAAACCCTGGGCTAGCTCATTTGTTTTTTCTTTTCGGCCCCAGTACACATAGGGGAGAGGAGACATTTTGGTTCATTGCAGAGGGGGTAAGGGAAACAGAGAGATGGCCTATGTAGTCCAGAAAGAACTCCCTTCCAGGTGAGGATCATGGTCTGTCAGAAAGAACGTGGCACAGAGAGCTGAAGGTCGTAAGTGTGAAGCCCCACTGCACAATGGCTATGTCATCGTGGGCAAGTTTCTTCCCTGCTCTAGGCCTGTTTCTCCATTTGTAAAGTGGGGGCGGTGGTGATTGTTGAGACTTGATCACTTCCTAGATCTTCTCCCATTTCAAGTCAATGTGCTAACTCTCTTCACTCATGGTGAGCCCTAGACACCATGGGACTAAAGTCTTTATCCAGTGGAACTTCAGATAATGGGTAAAACATGCCAAAGGGCTTTTGAGGGGGGCCCTGACAATTCCCAAGTGTTACTTTTGTTTTTTATAAAAACAGACTTTCCAACCAGAAAGTGCTGATTGGTATACTAGATCAGTGGGTCTTTGTGTTTTTTAATTATCAGAGACTCCTTTTCTGTCTTTCTCCACACCCTTAAGATTTCATGTTTGCAATGTTTTTCTCTGCCCAAATGTACCTGTTAAGCAGTAATTCTCATTTTTACTTACCAGAGGCACAAATAACTGCCAACCAGAGGTTCTTAGCATTATGCAATGTGGCTGCACTAAGCTGATGTAATTCTACCCACTTCCTGCAGAAATCTGGTCTTTTAATTATACCTGGGGTAAAAGTGTGATTTTCAAGAAATGTCTTGTACTAATAGTAATAATGGTGGCAGGTATTTATGAGGTGTTTATTATATACCAAGTCCTGTGCTAAGGGCTTTAAATATATAATCTGATTTAAGACAGTATGAATATTCCCATTCTATCAAGTAGGAAATGGAGGCCTGTTGAGCTTATGAAACTTGTACAGGGTTAAGATAACTGGTCAGTGGCAAGGCTTATCTACTTTCAAAATCAGCACTCTTACTTACCTTGCTCTGGATATGCATCCCCAAATTAGTCTGAGAATCCCCCTAGCTGCCTACAAGGACCCCTGAGATCTGAGCAGGTCTGCAGTGGATCATGACCAAAGTAAGGGAGGCCATACTTCAGCATGACTGAGAAACAGCAGCAAAAAGCTGAAGTGGAAACACTCTCTAACAGAAAATGGGTAAGTTGGAAGGAGTTAATGACCAGGGCAGAGAGAATAAAGGACTTTTTTTAAAGGTAAGTATTAAGAAATGTCTATATTTATGCACAGCTGGAGGAGGGAGTCTTATAGTAACAGTAATAACAACTCCAGTTTGAGTGCTTACCAGTGCAGCACTCGGCTAAGTGCTCTTTATGTCAGCTTTCTACTATTATTCTGGTTTTACAGCTGAGGAAAAAAGGTACAAAAGAGGTAAATAACTTGCTCAAGGCCACCTACAGTAGTTAAGTGGCTAATCTGATTTGATCCTGGCAGGCTGATTCTAGAGAAGCCTGCCGGTATGGGCTACCCCCTGACCAAGCCAAGGGCAGCAGGAGGAGCGCCAGCTGGGGGTGACTTTCCAACCAGAAAGTGCTGATTGGTATACTAGATCAGTGGGTCTTTGTGTTTTTTAATTATCAGAGACTCCTTTTCTGTCTTTCTCCACACCCTTAAGATTTCATGTTTGCAATGTTTTTCTCTGCCCAAATGTACCTGTTAAGCAGTAATTCTCATTTTTACTTACCAGAGGCACAAATAACTGCCAACCAGAGGTTCTTAGCATTATGCAATGTGGCTGCACTAAGCTGATGTAATTCTACCCACTTCCTGCAGAAATCTGGTCTTTTAATTATACCTGGGGTAAAAGTGTGATTTTCAAGAAATGTCTTGTACTAATAGTAATAATGGTGGCAGGTATTTATGAGGTGTTTATTATATACCAAGTCCTGTGCTAAGGGCTTTAAATATATAATCTGATTTAAGACAGTATGAATATTCCCATTCTATCAAGTAGGAAATGGAGGCCTGTTGAGCTTATGAAACTTGTACAGGGTTAAGATAACTGGTCAGTGGCAAGGCTTATCTACTTTCAAAATCAGCACTCTTACTTACCTTGCTCTGGATATGCATCCCCAAATTAGTCTGAGAATCCCCCTAGCTGCCTACAAGGACCCCTGAGATCTGAGCAGGTCTGCAGTGGATCATGACCAAAGTAAGGGAGGCCATACTTCAGCATGACTGAGAAACAGCAGCAAAAAGCTGAAGTGGAAACACTCTCTAACAGAAAATGGGTAAGTTGGAAGGAGTTAATGACCAGGGCAGAGAGAATAAAGGACTTTTTTTAAAGGTAAGTATTAAGAAATGTCTATATTTATGCACAGCTGGAGGAGGGAGTCTTATAGTAACAGTAATAACAACTCCAGTTTGAGTGCTTACCAGTGCAGCACTCGGCTAAGTGCTCTTTATGTCAGCTTTCTACTATTATTCTGGTTTTACAGCTGAGGAAAAAAGGTACAAAAGAGGTAAATAACTTGCTCAAGGCCACCTACAGTAGTTAAGTGGCTAATCTGATTTGATCCTGGCAGGCTGATTCTAGAGAAGCCTGCCGGTATGGGCTACCCCCTGACCAAGCCAAGGGCAGCAGGAGGAGCGCCAGCTGGGGGTGGGGGGGCAGTGTGTGTGCATCTGATCCTCACTGGACCTGCCTGGTGAGGCTAAGGGGGACCAGCAGCTTCACTGCCTCCTTGGCTGGCTATGCCCAGAAGCTTTAGCTGGACAGTGATATTTCTTGTGAACGTGTGTATAATGCTGCATTCCAAAGAAAAATCCTGCCCCTTTATATTATCTGTACTTCTTCTTGCTTGCATTCTGACAGATAATCAGATTTTCAGTAAGCTGACAAAGTCCATGAGCTCCAGCTACTCAAGACATCTTTTTTGCACATCGTCCACATGCTCTTCCCTCAGTGTGGAGTCTCTTTTCTGCAGCTTCTCCATTAAGTGAGAATTTCAACTCACCCTTTAAGACCCAGCTCAAATTTTACTTT